TATGTTTTTTATATATTGTATGGAGCACACTGGGCTTTTTAGCTCATTCTATAGTTTTTACCCTTTTTCAGATAACATCAGACCATAAGCTAGCAGATTTGGCATCAGGGGAGATCAACTACTTTATTTTGTAGGAACGTATATCTCTATATGTTTTCTAGTTATGTTTGGTGACATGTATTTGCTATCGTTTTGGATATATCTATATTATTAATATTTTGTTCTGTATTATCTCTAATGTTTATAAGTTATTTTAAATATAAAAAGAATCTCTGAATAGGATATGTGACCACTTAGGTTTGGGTCTAGTGTACAGACCGGGTCTGGGGGTTATTTGGTGGTATCAGAGCTTTCGGTTTTAAACACTCGGACTGTATATGGGTCATAAACTCTGGATTTTTAAGAAATTTTGAAAAAAAAACGTGTCACCTTATTTTATGATTTAAAGTTTTCTCAAGATCCCTGATGCTAATCTGACACATGTTTCAAATTCTTTCTGTATACCTTATAGATCCAACGATGAGTGCTGCTATTCGACCTTCTGTTACGATAGACGATCCTATGTCACCACGTGATCCTCCTGTTTCGCAAGTAGATCTGACCCTCTCTCATGATGATCAGTTTACTCCTGTGAGAGACCCTCCCGTCACTGGAGATGAGGATACTGACATGAACGAAGACGCCATTAATAGAGCTATATTCTGCATGTTTCAGAGAGTTGCCAGAGCCCCTAGTAATATGACTGCAGTGGAGATTTTGAATTCTTTGGTCGCTGCTGGTGTAGCTCCATTCGAGGGTATTACTGGTGGACCTTCGACAGATGTTGAGTATTGGCTGGAAGACACAGAGAGCATTATGGATGAGATGAGTCTCAGACCTGAGCAGAAGTTTAATGGTGCCTAACTATGTTAAAGAAATAAAGCTTCATATGGTGGCAATCGATTTCTGGTAGTATTCCGAGGAACCAGTTAACATGGGATCTTTTTAAGACACGTTTTCAGAGTCGCTACATCGGAGAGATATATATAGGAGCGACGCCAGGAGTTTCAGAATCTGGAGCAGGGTAGCACGTCTGTTATGGACTACGAGGTGGAGCTCATCCGATTGAGTTGATATACCCCTGGACTTGTTGACACTGAGGTAGATAGATGCTTGAGGTTCGAGAATGGACTTAGGTATGAAATCAGGAGCCGAGTTGCTACCCACCGGGAGAGGAATTTTGATGCCTTGGTTGAGATAGCCAAGATTGCTGAGGAAATAGAGTGATTGGGTATGGAGCGCAAGAGAGATAGTGATCGAGCTCAAACCCAATTCAGGAGGCCTTCTGGTTCTGTTGATTCTTCTACACATCCTAACAAGAGAGGCAGCGACGATTCCTTTCAGAGAGGCGGTGCGAGTGTCAGTCCTGTTGCATCTAGTTCTTCAGTTATTCAGCCTTCTAGACATGGTGGATCATCTGGGTTACAACCTTTGCAGACATGTGATTATTGTGGGAAACATCATCTTGGAGAATGCATGAGGAAATTTGGCACCTGTTTTAGATGTGGTTCTGGTGACCATATTATAAGGGATTGTCCAGTGTCAGTTACTACAGTTCAGACACAATCTCGTATTATCGCTCGTACTCAGAGTACTGTTCAGACTCTTACAGGTGGTCGTACTCAGGAGAGATCATCGGGATCGACTAGTAGAGGTCGAGCATCTTAGAGTAGGGGTCCAGTCAGATCTGAGGCCAAACAGCCTGCATTGGTTTACACTGCAAGACTTCGACAAGATCGTGATGGGCCTAATGTAACTGCAGGTATTGTTACTATTCATTCAGCTCCCTACTTTGCATTGTTTGATAGTGGTTCTACCAATTCCTATGTATCGCATTCCGTTTCTGAGGCTCTAAATATTCCTGTTGAGAATACTGAGTATTCGGTGATAGTTCAAAGTCCCTTAGGCAAGTCCATAGTGTTGGATCGTATTTTTAGAGACTGTCCTATAGAGATCAATGGGGAGATTTTCTGGCCGACCTGATGGAGTTACCTTTGGAAGAGTTTGATTTGATTCTCGGCGTAGATTGGTTGGACAAACATCGAGTAAAAATTGATTTTGAGACCAAGAGAGCTGTTTTGAAGACATCAGATGATCAAAAAATTGTAATGATCGGGGAACGTCGTGGATTTTTTACGAATGTTGTGTATGCTTTGGTAGTTGAGAAGATGTCCAGGAAAGGTTCTGAGGCGTTTCTTGCTTATATTTTGGACACTAGGAGTTCTCAGTCTGATATTGAAGGCATCCAGATTGTCAAGGAATTTCCCGATATTTTTCCCGAGGAGTTGCCTAGATTACCTCTGGATAGAGAAGTTGAGTTTGAGATTGAAGTCTATTCTGGTTCTACCCCGGTTTTAACGGCTCCTTATCGTATGGCCCTAAAGGAGCTTTAGGAACTAAAAGTCCAACTTCAGGAGTTGTTGGACAGGGGATTTATCTGACCTAGTGTATCACCGTGGGGAGACTTTGTATTATTATAGGAAACTGAACAAGCTCACGGTTAAAAACAAATATCATCTGCCCATGATCGATGATCTATTTGACCAATTTCGAGGGGCTTCTATCTTTTCAAAAATAGACTTAAGGTCTGGTTATTATCAACTCAAAGTGAAAGATTCGGATATTCCGAAGACTGTATTCCATACTAGGTATGGGCATTATGAGTTTTTAGTGATGTCATTCGAGTTAACAAATGCCCCTGCTGCTTTTATGGATTTGGTGCATAGGGTGTTCCGACCTTATTTAGACTAGTTTGTAGTTGTGTTCATTGATGACATACTGGTGTATTCTGGAACTGAAGCAGAACATGATGAGCATTTAAGGATTGTTCTACAAACTCTCTGGGAGAATAAGTTATACGCTAAGTTGAGCAAGTGTAAGTTTTGGCTCAGCGAAGTGACTTTTCTTGGACATATCGTCTCTGCTGATGGTATTCGGGTGGATCCAAGCAAAGTGGAGGCTATTCTGAACTGGAAGCAACCCAAGAACGTCTTTGAGATCTGTAGTTTCTTGGGCTTATCTGGTTACTACTGTCGTTTCGTTGAGGGGTTCTACCTTATTGCAACTCCTCTGACGAAACTATTGAGGAAGGATATTCCATTTGTCTGGTTTGAGAACCAACAAGCTAGCTTTGAGAAACTAAAGATTGTTCTAACTCAAGCCCTATTGTTGATTCAGCCTGAATCTGGGATAGATTTTTCTGTCTACAGTGATGCTTCTCACTCTGGATTAGGATGTGTTTTGATGCAGGATGGGAAGGTTGTCGCTTATACTTCGCTTCAGTTAAAGCCGCATGAGCGTAACTATCCTATTCACGATCTGGAGTTAGCTGCCGTGGTTTTTGCTTACTCAGAAAGAATTGAATTTGAGAAAGCGTCACTGGTTGGAGCTTTTAAAGGACTATGATTTAGAGATAGAATATCATCCAGGGAAGGCTAATGTAGTGGCAGACGCCTTGAGTCGTAAGGCGATATCAGATCTTAGAGCCTTATTCGCCAACTTGAGTTTATTTGATGATAATAGTCTGTTAGCATAGTTGCAGGTTAAACCCACTTTGGCCGAGGAGATTAAGGCCAAACAACTTCTGGATAGCTCATTGCTTCCCATTATTGAACCAGTTAAGGATGGATCGAGTTCAGATTATACTGTGGATCAGGATAGTATTTTGTGTTTTAACGATCGTTACTGCATCCCTAAAGATGATGAGTTAAGACAGATTATTCTTCAGGAGGCTCATAGTAGTCTTTATGCTATGCATCCTGGCGGGGACAAAATGTACAATAATCTCAAGGAGCGCTACTTTTGGATTGGTATAAAAAAAATATTTCAGAGTTTTTAGCGAGGTGTTTGACTTGTCAGCACGTTAAGGCATAGCACCAACATCCATATGGATTGTTACAGTCAATTAAGATTCCTGAGTGGAAATGGGAGCGCATTACGATGGACTTCGTTACTGATCTTCCTCTGATCCTTCCAAAAAGGATTCTATTTGGGTGATTGTTGATCGACTCACAAAGTCAACGCACTATAACCTTATTTGGATTAATTATTCTCTGAACAAACTGGCTAAGTTATATATTTCTGAGATCATTAGACTTCATGGTGTTCCGTTGTCTATCATATCTGATCGAGATCCGAGGTTCACTTCCAGGTTCTAGAAGGCTTTGCACGAGGCTCTGTGTACTCGTTTAAATTTCAGTACAACTTTTCATCCACAGACTGATGGACAGTCTGAGTGAGTTATTCAAGTGTTGGAGGATATGTTACGGGGTTATGTAATTGATTTCCGTGGTAGTTGGGAAGATTTCTTGCCATTAGTCGAGTTTGCTTATAATAATAGTTACCAGGCAAGTATTCGCATAGCACCGTACGAGGCTCTATATGGACGTAATTGTCGTACCCCTATATGTTGGACAGAGTTGCATGATAGAAAAACTTTGGGTCCAGACTTGGTTTGAGAGACTGAAGATACTGTCAGACTGATCCGTGATCGCTTAAAAGAGGCATTTGATAGGCAGAAATCATACGCAGATAAGCGACGTAAGGATATCGAGTTTGAGGTTGGAGATCAGGTTTTTATCAAGGTATCTCCATGGAAGAAGGTATTAAGATTTGGACATAAGGGTAAACTGAGTCCGATATTTATTGGGTCATATCGTATTTGAAGAAAGTCGGACTTGTTTCTTATCAGCTTGAGTTGCCTCCCCAGCTCAGTCCTATTCATGATGTTTTTCATGTGTCTATGTTGAGGCGATACCGTCCAGATCCAGATCACATCATTCAGGTTGATGAGGTAGAGTTGAGACCTGATTTGTCATATGAGGAGGAGCTTGTTCAGGTTTTAGAGAGGGATGAGCGAGTTCTTCAGAATAGGCGTATTCCAATGGTCGATGTTCAATGGAGTAATCGTAGCCCCTCAGAAGCTACTTGTGAGACATTGGAGTCAATGGAGGCTCAATATCCTATTTGGGAAGCTTGACATTTTCACCATAATCTATGTTCCCACAACTCTGGGCAAATTGCAAAGCAACTTTGCCACCCATGGAGTGACCAATGACAACATCAGGCGAACCCCGGTTTTTGGAGTTTATCAAATTACCCAAATCTTTAGTTTCATTTACCATATCATGCGGCGGATCGAACCCTTCTATCTCTGCTGACTTCCCACGGTTCCTTAAATCCACGAGCACCATCCTCCACTCTACAAAAATGAATAAATAAATAAATAAATAAAATTCTCGAATTTTCTCAGGAATTCAAACAGGCTGGGGATCAAGTACCGGAAGAAGGGGAGCTGGATAGAGACGAGGCGAGGCTGCGAGAAAATGAACGCCAGTTGCGGGCGGAGCCTAGGAGGCCGTGGAGGATGAAAGCTGTGTGAGTATAGGGTTTGTTTGGATTGGCCTGGATTTCTTCAAATGCTAGGGTTTGGAGGTATCGGTTTGAGGTATTGTAGTAGGGATGATTCAGGAGGGAAGTCGGTGAGTTAAGAAAATGAGTCAGGAGAGTGCAGGGGGTTCCTTGTTTGTTCCTAATGAGTCGAGCCATTTCAAACACTTCTACGGAACTCTGTGATGGAAGAGAAATCGAAAATTAAATAAAAATTTGAACAAAAGTAAGCAATTAATTATGGGGTAAACTACAAAAATTAATGACATTGTTTGAGTAAATTTCTCCTTCCGCACTAATATTTTAAAAATATTAATTTTTTCATTAATATTATTGATTTATAGTAAATTAATTATTTCAGTCGTTACTAAAATAACGAAATAATGATATAACACTGTAGTTTTTCTTTTGTATCATTTGACCACGTGAGATCATTTAACTGACCCTCACATCTTCTTCTTAAACTCGTCATTTCTCTTGTTTCGTTAAACTCATCCTTCCCAAATCCTTAAATTTTCTACCATTTTAATTATCTTTCTCAATCAGAAGCTCAACTGCAACTCTTTCCACCTTCGTTCATGGCCATCAAACTGTTACCTCACTCCCACGTTGTCCAAACGCATGTCTGTTCGAGCGAGTTCCATTACTTAAAATAATGTAATTTGACTCCTCCTTAAATTAGTAATATGATTAGGGTTATAAACTACTAAGTCGAGTTTAAGTATTATTGAGTTAAATTCGATGTTTGACTCGATTCAAAAATTGTGAGCCTAAAATTTTTAAATTCGGCTTAAACTTGAAATCATGAATTGAAGTTTGAAATAAAAAAAATCTTAAACTTAACTTGTTTGAAACTAAAAAAGGAACTCAAACTTGAACTTTAAGTACTTGAAAACCTTATAATACAATTTTTTTTAAAAAAACCAACACATAAATGTTAATATTATTAATAATTTATTTTTTTTACAAAAATAAATTTTTAATATATTATTTTTTTGAGTTGCTCGCAAGCCTTTCGAGTCGAGTATTAAGTAATTCATTTCGGCTCGTTAAAAACTCGAGTCGAGTCTATTCAAGTTGAGTATTTATCGAGTTTTGACTGAATCGATCTCGAGTAGCCCACGATCTATCTCGTATCATTTATAACCGTAAATATGATCATAACAAATTAATTAATCTCCTCTTGGTTACTGCTGGCATACAAGAGATTCGCCAATACAATGGAGAATTTAAAAGATAAAATTATGGTAATGTCTAAAGAAATGTAGAATAATATAAGGTTGACAAAAGGCGCTACCGGAAATGTTAATATTTTTTAACATTTCGGTAGAGTGTCACCTATTATTTTTTCTACCGAAAATATTAATATTGGGCGCTACTTAAAATGTTATTTTTTCTACCAGAAATGTTAATATCGAAAATATTTATTTTAGGTAGCGAAATTAACATTTCCGGTAGAAAAATAACATTTTAGATAGAACTCTATCGGAAATGTTAATAAAATATTAACATTTTCGATAGCGCCTTTTCTTAGCCTTATATTAGGCTGTCATATAGTAAAACTACCCATTATCAGAATGTCTAAGGAAAGACAACATAATATAACATTTTCGGTAGGAAAAATAATATTTTTGGTAGGAAAAATAACATTTTAGGTAGTGCTCTACTAGAAATGTTAAAAAATTAGCCTTATATTAGACTACCGTAAATTATAAGATTTAATATTTTAATATTAATATTCAATATTTTTATAAATTTAAATACGCTTTTATAACTAATTTTTGTTGCTACCAACGAAGGTTGGCCTGAGTGGAAGGGCTTTGGTCGTTTAAGCAAGGGGTCACTGGTTCAAACCCTTGTGGATGCAGCAAACTTTCTTGGGAGAGGTCTCCACCTTCGTGCCCGACAATACCTCGGGGGATTAGTCTCAGGCAAAGCCTGGGGATACTTTGGATATACCAAAAAAAAACTAAATTTTGTTGCTAATGATTAGATATAACAATATCAAGTTAATTAATTATATATTAGATTTCTAAGGTTCTATCACTTCTTATATATTTGCAACATTTTTTCCAACGGCTACAAAGAGTCAAAGATTGTAATTTTGCTCTTTTTAAGAGGATCTTTTTGTTTTCTTCAAAAGTATAAGGAATATTCCATTAAAAGTATAGGGATAAAAATAAAATCCACACTATAGTACAGAGATTTGTACTGTACTTTTACCTTTTAGGCCAATTCCTTTTGTTATAGTTAAAGGTAAACTACAAAAATGTTTTTTAATGCTCGAGCATATTTCTCTTTTCCTACTGATGTTTTAAAAGTAATGTTTTCGTCATTAACTTTATTGATTTATAATAAATTGATCACTCAATCGTTAACGACCATTATTAGATAACGGAATGTCGATATGACATGTTAGTTTGACAATTTAGCATTATTTGACTATGTGAGGTCATTTTAGCTATGGGATGGTTCATATTATGGGTATAGAAGAAATTATTTTCTTAACTAAGGTGGAATGGACAGTGTATGGGAGGAAGATTTTCGGACCACCTGACATCTTTGGAAAGAGGTTGAGAAGACGCATTGTCTTCTGTGTTGGTATACTAGTAAGGTTTACTTCACATTGCATGCAACTTAAATAACACGTCATGTCTTTTAGGTTTCTTTCCAAAAACGCCAAATGATTCGACTGTCTTTCCTCTTCCATTGTTCATTTCAACCTAATTTAGAAAATAATTTTTTCAACACCATATATGATTCATTGTTTTTCCCCACCACATTATCCCATCAAATTTGCGGCTGATCTTTTATTGCCTATTTAAATTAGAATGAAATTGCAGTGGTCGAATATGTAGTCGATGCTGCTGCTTGGGCTGCATCCTTTGTTGCCCAAAGACGAATAATCGATGTGTTAGCCCATATATGCACTGAAATAGCATGCATTGCCTGCTCGGAGCTACGTTTTCCGATCGATTAACACCTTCGGGGAGTGATTTAGTTGTTCCATTTGTCTGAACCAGTGTTGCCTGCAACATAGTCCACGACTTGTTCAAATACAATGCAGTTTGAGGCACTACTGAAATGTTAGTGTAACATGCAGTCTTAGTCCCGCAACGCTCTCTGCAATGCAAGTGTTTGATCAAGTTACTGGTTGCACAGGCCATGTTGCTAACTCTATATCGTGATTTTCCCGATACTCCTTCCGGTCTTGTGTCGAGTGGATGAAATCATATTTTCAAACATGAATACTGTTATATTTGGATATTAGTATTCAAATCGTTTATATAGGTATACATACATACATACATACATACTTAATTTGACTTCTTGGAGATTACTGTAAATACTGCTTTGTTCCATAAGGCAGTTAAGTTCAAAGCAAAGAGGAAGATGCCGAACTGAAGAGTGGAAGTTTTTGGTGTGATGAGCTTAGTGCGGTAAATGAGACGAGACAGATTACGAGTTACTCGAGATCGACTCGGTTAAGGTTTAGTCAACATTTGAATTGAATAGACTCACTAGAATGATAAGTGTTAATGGGAAGAATGATAAGTGTTAATGGGAAGAATGATGAGTGTTGACGAAGGGAATTCTTATATGCCATAACAACAATGGATAAGCAAAATTAGAAACAATACAAGCTCAACTTAAAAGAGTTCCATAACTTTTGTCTACAAATTACCATCAAAATTCACTACAGAACTATTGTCCAACAATAGAAAAGAGCGAAACAAGCTTGAATCTAAACCGAAAATTGTTTAAAACAGAAATTCTGAGCATACCACGGCAGCAGCAGTGAGTAATAGATATGAAGCAACGAATCACAGCCTTCTTCCACGTCTACCACCCTTTCTACGAGTACTGTCAGTGGGAATTGGGGTAACATCCTCTGAGGTCAAAAGGTTTCAACTCAGTTTATAAGAGTTGAAATGAATGGACCGATTGGAAACTCGAGAAACAAAAGAATGAAAGAACTCTGTACCTATGCGTCCAATTTTCATGCCTGAACGAGCAAGGGCTCTAAGTGCAGACTGCGCACCAGGACCAGGTGTCTTGGTCTTGTTCCCTCCAGTTGCTCTTAGCATTATATGAAGGGCAGTAATACCCAACTCCTGCAATAAAACAAATGCAAATAGGCATATAAGTTCACCATGCATAAAACATGTACTACGCCACAAGCCAACCGGTAATAAATTAGACCTTGCAGCGTTGAGAAACATCTTGGGCTGCAAGCATGGCAGCATAAGGGGAAGACTCGTCTCTATCGGCTTTCACCTTCATGCCACCTAGATTTGAAAAACGAGAGGAATAAGATCCAAAAAAAATACTATTCATGGAAGTAATTCCAACCTCATACATGATTATCAACACATGTTGTAACATAATTAGCCACCAAACACCCAAGATAGGAAAAGAACCCATTTTCTAAAGATAATCATAAACCATATCAGAGTTACTCGAGATCGACTTGGTTAAGGTTTAGTCAACATTTGAATTGAATAGACTCGACTAGAATTTGAACTCAACTCAAAATTTTAACGAGCAAAAACGAACTACTTGATACTCAACTCGAAAAACGCACGAGCTATTCGAAAAAATTATATATTGAAATTTTAGATTTTTTAAGTTAATTTATTAATAATATTAACATTTATATTTTATTTTTAAAAATATATATAATATAAAGCTTTCATCCATTTAAGTTCAAGTTCGAGATCAAGTAGAATTTTAAACTTTTTAATTCAAGTTCGAGTTAAGCTTAATTTAAAATTTTTGAGTCGAGTCGAGCTTGACTCATTTACAATCCTAAATAAGCAAAAGGAGTTGAGGAAGAGGGTGTTTGAATATTTTTGTCGAAATATAAAGATCAAAATAAAAAAATTTAAGCGAAAGGTATTTTTCATTTTTTTTCAATGATGTTTACGTTACTTTATGGTGTCACGTATAAAAACGTGAAGATATATATATATATATATATATATATATATATATATATATATATATATATATATATATATAACTGTATATATAATAAATTAAATAATACCATAATATAAATATTTACAACAAAATTTGAATAGAAACTCGAACAACTTGAATAAACTTGAATCAAATTTCACAAACTCAACTAAACCCGAAAAAATTTAAATAAAGTTCGAGTTATAAAATAAGACTCGTCAACTCAAATAACTCTAAATTTTTTGACTCAACTCAATCATGTACTCACCCTACCCTTTAACCTGAAGCTTATTTGTAATTAAGTCAAGAAGAATGAACTTGAATAAGGATTAAGTTGAAATTTAAAAACTCTTTTCACTTTAACCTGATTTCACTACTGCTTAAGGGTACATATCATTATTTGTATCTGTAGGAATGGGAGAAAAAAAGAAGCAGAATCCGTAAACCATAATGAGTTATGACATTTGCAATCATATATAACATTCCTCCCTCGTTTCCCATCTGTCGTTTACATTCTTTTACCGAGTGGAACCGATAAACTTTCCAGGGAACAAGGAGGGATGGAAAGAGTCTTCAGTCTTCTTAGTCGAATGGATCAATTCGTGGGTCATGTTCGCTAGCCATCAGCATCCCGGTGCACAGACAAGTTGGGCACATCACCTAAAGTAAGAAGATATTAGCCTCTGGATTCTGAGAACTCAAAATTGTATTTTGTCAATCACATATTTGTGCATATATTCAGTTTACCTTTCCCGAACCGGAGCAGTTCAGACATCTTACGGTAGTAGGAACTTTTAAAGTCCGTCCAGAAGCACTGGATAGCGAGATAGGATCAATGCTCAAGCATACACCACTTGCAGAACATCTTGCACAGGCCAAATATCCTGCCCGTAGGACAACCCCGAAAAACAAAAGATGATCAAAACTAATGTAAGTTCACATGATAGTATAACTTCAAATAGTCTTAAGGAATAAAAAGAGAGCTAAAAACCCACAAGGAAATTGAGGAAAAGTGCATGTCCACACAACAAACTAAAACGTACCATTTCCGCGGCAATATTTACACCTTTTCTTCTCCTGCTGTTCAACATTGTTGGCTTCAATTAGCATCAAGGCTGAAATGACACCGACTGCCCCTCCTGAAAACGATGCCACGATAGGGTCAACCTGACTGAACCAACAAACAAACAAGTTGAAACAGTAACTTTAATTGTTCAATTGAAGTCATTTGCACCCGAGCACTAGTTACTCCAGGTTTACAATTTTGTAAATGAAGATAAGGTCAATTAATACCTTAACTGCAATGGCAGATGCATGTTGCGTATGAAATCTTCATACGAGGTGCCTCCTAGACCTAATTTTAGCTCCAGCTGCCACGAAAAAAGTAGATTACAATAACAAAAACAACCGGTAAGTAGAAATAAATATGGTTATATCAACTGTGATACAAGAAGACATGAGACATTGGTTGGATGGGGTTAGAGTAAGAGCCCAACCTAACTGATTAATGAACACATAACTAACAGACCTGTTCCAAATTCTCTATTTTTTTTCACATATAAGCAAATAAATTCTAATAGTTTGACCATAAAGACTCGAAATGAGTCTATAAACATTACTCATGGTAGTTACCGGCAGTTAAAGGAAAGAAATGACAGCTTCAAATCAAATCTAAGCATAAATACTACAATATGGAGTTAAACTAAAACAACTTTAGATGTTCCTACTACTTACCGTTGGTGCAATAAGGCTCCAAATACAATTATTCCAGATATAAATGCCAGGCTTGTGAAATACAGTTGCTTCATTGTCTTCGGTGTCTGCTTCAACAGGAAGGTTAACAAGGTAACAAAACAATGACAAAGTCAAGATAAATCTCTAAGCAAAGATCTCAAAAGGGCGTTTTCATGCATTTTCCAACATAGAACTGTTTTTCGGGCATTTCTCGTGTGCTTCAACTAATTAAGCTTGAAATGCAAACATACAATACATATGAAACTTACAACTCACCACATGAGAGAAAAAAGGAATTGAAGATGGAATGTCAGGCATCTCATCTGTTTCCTCGTCGCCGTTCTCACTGATCACTTTCACATTCTTTATCCGCTGTTGTATCCGTAATCTCCTTACCTATATGGGGAGAAAAAAAGTACTTTATAAAGACAAATCAAATGAGAAATCAATCCACAAACGCATAATATTCTCCTTTTTTCATTTGAGCCTGTACTACTTCATGGATTGAAGATAAAATTCCTTGACAGCTTGTACAAAATAGTTTTTTGAATATAATTTCGGATTAGAAGCCATATTACTAGGATAAATCAGTGTATTTATGAAACTTATACATTTACCTCTTCCATGAGGAGAAAGATTTATTGCGCCTACTCTTTATATTATCTTCAATTTCCTGCAGCTGCATCTTCACAAAATCTTGAAGAGTCTCGGTCCTTCAATGATGCAAAGTTACTGAAAAACCAAAAATAGAAGAAATAAAAAATTCCTTTTAAATTTTACAATGAAAGCAACCAATAGTAAACACACAAGAAGATAAACACTTTATATGATAATAAATCAAAAACCCATTTACAAAATCATGTAATACGACAGAGACTTCAAGAAGATGGATAATTCAACCAAAATATGAGGAAAAATGAGAGAAAAGGAAAGGAAAAGGAGAGTTAAGGAATGAACCTGGGAACGTTATCAGAAGAAGGGGAAGGGTTGTTTTTAGAGGAGAAACAGGTGAATGGATAAGGAGAAGCGTGTTTGGGTGGAGAGAGGAATTTAGGATTTCCATTAATTGGGATTAGGGTTTTGAAATTTGGAGAAGTCCTAGGATGAAGATGATGAGAGTAGAGATGGAAAGTGCCCATTTCTTTTTCAATCTCTATTGAAAATTTCCCATTTCTTTTTCAATCTCTATTGAAAAAGGACTGTTTCTGAAGGGAAACTGATGTTCTTATTTTTTTTTTTTTGTCGCGATTGCTTTTCGAGTAGACTTGAAATTTAGCTTTGATTTGGAATAAAATATTGGGAGTTGTCACCACTCATTTATTTTTCGTAAAATTTGGTTGACTTGATACTATCTTACTTGATCTGTGTTTTACTAAAAATATTTGGGTTCGGGAGTCGGTTACAGTCAAAGAAAGATTAACACCCTTGAATTGTCCTTTCGGTACCATTTAATTTATCGGTTGTCTTAATTGTGAAAATTAAAATTAAAATTTAAAAATTCGATCTTAATTATTTACCTTTTGATCAATTAAAATTATCCCTAAAAAATCATAAATAAATAAAACCAACAAAGACAAAGAGTTAGCATTACAAGATAAAATATAAAAAAGATAAATAAATAAAAGGGAGTGAAAAAAATTATAAAAAAATAAAAAAATAGAAATAATTAAAATTCACTGATTGAATTAATTTTAGAAATGAGTTGCAATAGAAAAACATAAATTTAAGGGATTAAATAACAAAAAAAATTAAAGTACCAAAATAATACAAATAGAAATTTAAAGGATTAAAATAGTATTAACATAAATTAGAAGGACAATAACTAAATTCAAATAAAAACATAACAGTTTAATGACTAAATTAAAAATAAGTAAAATATAGAGTTCAAAATAAAAATAGGTACACATAAAGACCATAATATTAAAATATGGCTAGACTAGGGGGATTTAGGGGTGATTTGACCCTAAATCTAATGACTTAAATGTAACACATGGGAAAGAAAGGGATCTAAATAGGATTAAACTAAAATTAGTGACTAGAATGCAAAAAGCTAAGAAATAATGAGGAGTTAAAGTGTGAGTTTCCCAAATTTAAAATAAAAGCAATTTTCTTCCCCTTTTTTTCTTCTACCCGTGGATTTTAGAACCGTCTTCATTTTTTTCTTGCTCTGCTCAATACCACACGTATAACCATCTTCTTCAAATAGCCGGAGTCATGACACTTGGCCACTGGATATGGGTGGCTTCGAACCCCACAGCAACAAAGTAAGATTTTGACCCTCTTTTTTATTTATTTTTGTTTTAGAAACCGTGAAAATGTCTGAAAATAAAGAACAAAAACATAACAAATAAATAAAGCATTTGAAAAAAAAAGCTAGAATACCTCTGAATATTTTGCTTTCGATTCTAATTTTGTATTGTTGAAAAAAATTCTCATTGTTGAAAATTCCTCTCAAAATCGAGAGTAATCTCCCCCTTCTTACATTTTCATTCGGCTATTTATAGCCCTTATTTTACATAGCTTTGCATAAAAAAAATAGCAACTTGGTGTGACCGTGCTTTAGATCAGATCACGTGTATTTTTATCTCTGTGAGTTGGCAGGAA